TTCACCTCTCTCTTCCCTGATGCTTCTATTCTCCTTGTATCCCATCTACCTTTTACTCTCAGTGTAGCTACAACTAGAAAGTGATCTGATATATCTGTGGCCCCTCTATAAACATGTACATCCTGAAGTCTACTCAACAGTCTTTTATCTACCAATACATAATCCAACAAACTACTGTCATTTCGCCCTACATCATATCTTGTATACTTATTTATCCTCTTTTTCTTAAAATATGTATTACCTATGACTAAACCCCTTTCTATACAAAGTTCAATCAAAGGGCTCCCATTTTCATTTACACCTGGCACCCCAAACTTGCCTACCACACCCTCTCTAAAAGTTTCTCCTACTTTAGCATTCAGGTCCCCTACCACAATTACTCTCTCACTTGGTTCAAAGGTTCCTATACATTCACTTAACATCTCCCAAAATCTCTCTCTCTCCTCTACATTCCTCTCTTCTCCAGGTGCATACACGCTTATTATGACCCTCTTTTCGCATCCAACCTTTACTTTAATCCACATAATTCTTGAATATACACATTCATATTCTCTTTTCTCCTTCCATAACTGATCATTTAACATTACTGCTACCCCTTCCTTTGCTCTAACTCTCTCAGATACTCCAGATTTAATCCCATTTATTTCCCCCCACTGAAACTCCCCTACCCCCTTCAGCTTTGTTTCGCTTAGGGCCAGGACATCCAACTTCTTTTCATTCATAACATCAGCAATCATCTGTTTCTTGTCATCCGCACTACATCCACGCACATTTAAGCATCCCAGTTTTATAAAGTTTTCTTCTTCTCTTTTTTAGTAAATGTCTACAGGAGAAGGGGTTACTAGCCCATTGCTCCCTGCATTTTAGTCGCCTCATACGACACGCATGGCTTACGGAGGAAAGATTCTTTTCCACTTCCCCATGGACAATAGAAGAAATAAAGAAGAACAAGAGCTATTTAGAAAAAGGAGAAAAACCTAGATGTATGTATATATATATGCATGTGCGTGTCTGTGAAGTGTGACCAAAGTGTAAGTTGGAGTAGCAAGATATCCCTGTTATCTAGCGTGTTTATGAGACAGAAAAAGAAACCAGCAATCCTACCATCATGCAAAACAGTTACAGGTTTCTGTTTCACAGTCATCTGGCAGGACGTTAGTATTTCCCTGGGTGGTTGCTGTCTAAAAACCTACTACCTTTTATTTTTAAATTTTTATTTTATTATTATTTTTTTATTTAATTTTATTATTATTTTTTTATTATTAATTATTTTATTTTTTTAAATTTTATTATTATTATTATTTTATTATTATTATTATTATTATTTTTAAAAATTTTATTTTATTATTATTATTATTATTTTTAATGTTAAATCAAATTAGTGGCTTGATATCCCCAGCACACTTGTCTTACACTATGTGTCTTACAGCTTGTGTCTTACACTATGGTCTGACGCTGTTTTTCTGACACTTGTTCGACAGCTGTGTGTCTGACAGCTGTGTGTCTGACGCTTGTTCTGACAGCTGTGTGTCTTATAGGTCCTGGTAAAGCTTTACTGCGGCAACGTTCGATCTTGCTTAAGTTTTATTGTAACAAACTTTATGAGAACAGTAAAGCATTTTTTTGTATAGTAAACTTGTAATTTAAGATGGAAAAAAATAAAATTAAACAAGTTCCCTTTTCTCCCCCCCTTCATGTTGTTCACATGCAGGATCACTACGTGGACCCCGTGAGCACGCCCAGGAGCCGTGGGGAAAACCCTTTACCACAATGGTTCTTCTGGTGTGAATGTACCTCTGTGAAAACCCAGGAGAAAACCAGGATGGAGAATTCCACAGTTGGTGAGTGTAGAGAACCGGATGGGGAGTCCTCATGTTGTGAATGTAAGAACCAATGGGGGGAAATTATCATGTTTAGTGAGTGTCAAAAAACCCGGATGGGTTTGGGTTGAAAGTGGGGAGGGGGAAAGGGGTGGTTAGTGGGTGGGGAAACAAACAAAAAAAAACGGCCTCTGGTGGGGGTAAAATAATCGTTGGTTGGGGGAAAGCGAATGTTAGGGGAAAGGGGAAAGGGAAAAAGTTTAGGGGGGGGGGGAATGGGGAAACGGTAGTGGGAGGGGGAGGGGGAATGAGTACCTTACTTGTTGGGGAGGGATAAGTCGGCGAGGGGCGTGTTGGGGGGGAGATAATACGGCAAGGGTGCTGATGGGGAGGAGAAAGTACTGGCAGAGGGTCTGAGTGGGGGGGAATAAGTACTGCAGGGGTGCGTGAGTGGGGAGAGAAAGTAGCAGGGGTGCGTGAGTGGGGGGGAAAAACTGGCAAGGGTGCGTGAGTGGGGGGGAGATAATACGGGAGAGGGTCTGAGTGGGGAGGGGAAAGTCGGGAGAGGGGCGTGAGTGGGAGGAGATAAATGGGAGAGGGTGCGTGATGGGGGAGGAATAAGTACTGGAAGGGGTGCGTGAGGGGGAGGAGATAAGGACTGGCGAGGGTGCGTGGTGGGA